GATAAATTAAGGTATGTACCATCATAGGAGTGAAATTGTTTCTTCATATTTAGGTGGAAAAACTATGTCCAAAGGAAAACCCAGTTCTGTAGTTGTACTGAGTTTATAGTTTACGGCAGAGGCTTGTCGCCTTTGTGTATGAAAAGACATGTCGTGTGTTCTATTGTAGGCTAATGCTATAGTTTTCTGGAGTCAGGAGCAAAATCTTCCATAACAGCATCTCTTCCCTGTGGTCCCTGGGAGAACAGGAGAAGAAGAGTGGGACCAAAGCCCTGATAGCTCTTCACAGCTGGTATCAAACTGGAGGCACCCTTGCCTTTGGAAACTGGTAGTGGCAGTTTGAAGTGGGAAAAATTCCTAGTTAAAGGAGAAGAATCATAGAGTCATTTAGATTGGAAAACACCTTTACGATCATAGAGTTCAGCTGTAAACCTAATACTACTAAGTCCACCACTTGAAGATAGTATAGAAAAGTACTGAGGGACAAATTCTAGAAATTAAATATAACCAACCAAAAAATCATAATCATCTGGAGTGTATTGGCACTTGCTTGTGTCCCAGCAGAGGAATGGGTGGATAGTTTAGGCTGGAGTAAAGGTTTCTTCCAGCTGCTTGCCTTAATCTGGGTTTGAGAGGCTGAAGCAAGTCTATTTTAATTAATAAAAATCCTAGTTTCTCTGGTGCCTAGGGAAGGTGTAAATCACTTAGCAAAAACCGTGGCTATGTCTGCATGAAAAATACACCATCTTTTGAGTTTCTTATTTGGCCTCTCTGTGAAATGTCTTGAATCAATCTGCATTAGGACGTGAACCAAGCAAAAATGAGCTGAGCAATCCAATTGGTTTTCCATCTCTAAGCAGCAGTATTTCCTGACCCAGTGTTAAAATTGGAAAGGCAGAGAATGCTGGATTTAACATACCTGTGTTTTTTGTCATGTGGACATTTGCAGTTGAGATGCCTCGGCAGCTTTCCTGTGTTTTTTCAACACCAGAAAAGTAAAATAAATAGGAAAGTAAATATATGAAGATTGGAAGTAGTGGTTTTTTGTCCTGTCCACATGGCTGGTGGTGAGTGCCTCCAGATAGTTGCCTTGCCACTTTTGGGTGGTTCTTGCAGGTTTCTGTCTTCAGGTCCTGTCCCTTGTGGGTGGGCGTTTTGGAGGTCTCTGTAATCAGACATCCTTTTTTTCCCCACAGTCTTACAGAACTGAATTGATGCTTCTAGCGTTTTGCAAATTTAAAATATGTTGGAAAATCACTGTAAGTTACCAGAGAGGAACACGGATGCATTTGCATGTGTGCCCAACATGAGGGTGCCTGCTCCCCTTGACTCTTCCACTGGTGTCACCCCTGGGACCTGGGGCGGTGGCTCCCTGTGGAGGAGCCCGGGACAGGGCATCCCATTGTCTGACCCTGTAATGTGGGTCTCTGCCTGGCAGTGTGCCTCTTCTCTGAGCTGGAGGAGATGGGCATGGAATGGGCTGATGGCTCCTGGGATGGGGCAGGGTGTTATTCAGACAAGGTAGCAGCAATAGCTGTAGAGTTGGGGTCACAGGACCCCTGCCACCTGCTCAGTGAAGAAGGCCTTCGTTGCCTTCAAGGAAGATCTTCATTGATTAAGGAGAGCCCTGAAATCTTTCTCCTTTCTCAAACATCTTTAAGACTGTTTGTTGACCAATGAAGACCTCAAAATTTTAGCTGGATGCACTTCTCAGTGCCTTTTTCTGTAGGAAATTTTCAAAGGGCCAGCAGATTACCTCTGAGAAACTACAGATGCTGCTTTATACATGTGAGGTGCAGTCTATGTAATGAAGTTAGTCATCAGATCTCTGATTTGATTCTCATTGCCTTGAAACATTTTCAGTTGAGCCTTAAAAAGTTAGTATTTTCAGGAAGTCCTAAATGTCCAGCATGTGTTCTTCAAATGGTTTTCAAGTATCCTTTTCTGCCCTGGGAGAAATCCTGTTGGGTGTGTTTCCAAACTGTTGCTGGAAAATAAACTCACTAGTCATTTTTAGAAATGAAGCTGTTCAGATGTCACTTGATTTCCCTTTGTTTTGATTTTTAGTTGTTATTCAAGCCATGTGATGAAAAAGAACTCTTCTCAGGCTTGCTTTTCAACTCTTTATTTTACTCCTGTCTGTAACAATTGTAGTTTCATGAGGATAGCAAATGCCAACAAGGCAATGTGCATATCTGTCTTTAGGGCCTGTTTCCTGACATTCCTAAGGGACTAAGAATTGGTTTATTGATTTTTTTTTAGGAACTAACAATGTGGAGATGCTGCAGGGAGGTGCTGAGCTCCTAGAGGAGCCCCTCCTGGCAAGCAAAGCGTTTGCTTCCTCCAAAAGGTGGTGGGGAAGCATGTTGGGACTTGAACAATGCCTGAAGTATCCATCTGCCACCAGGCAGAGCCAGGTAGGACATGTTGGACATGTTCTTCCTGTTTGTTGTAACATAGTGGTATTTCCCTTCCTTTCCCATAGTGGTATATTTCTTTCTCATAGTGGTATCTCCCCCTTTCTTTACTGGCTTAAGGTGTTACAAGTCTCATTTTTCCCTCTGGCAGTCTTTACTGCCCATGGTCCTTCAGCAATGGAGCTTGCTTCGTCAGCCCATGCTTGCCAGTGGAGGGGGTTAGTGGTGGACCATGGGTTCTGGGCTGCCACAGAATCTCAGGGCAGAGTGATCCTCTGCTGAGCAAACGCCCTCAGAGCCCTGAGCAGATGTCTGCACATATGGCTCTGCCCACTGTGAAAACCCAGTGCAAATGGCATGGTGTGCCCAGTTTGAATGAGATTAAAATATAGGTGGAGGTTTAAAACAAAAAAAATAAAATAAGCATTTTTTCCTAGTGTTGAGCAGGCAAGTGTAACGTCTTGGGGGTGGGCAAAGGTACATTGGTCCAGTGTGGCTGTGTTCTGCAGAAGCAGCACCCAGCCCTGCCTGGAGAAGCTGGCAGCACCCGTCCTGTCTGCCCTGCCAGCTGCCATTTACCTCCTTCAATACAGACTTGCAGGGCTGCAGTTTGCCAGCTAGAAAGCTAAGAGTTAGAAAATAAATGTTTGGATTTTCACTGGAAATGTGTTTTTAAGTAGTACTGTAAAACTTTTTTATGCATTGTGCCTATGGGCTGGTTCTTACCCTGTAAAACTGGCTGCAGCTGTCAATATATAAGGATTTTTTTTACACTTAGAGGTAAACTTATTTTAAGTCCCAAGTCTCATGAATTGTGTTTCTTTAGTTTGTTTGAAACTCAGGGTATTACCGAGTAGGGTAATATTGCATATAAGGAATACCGTGTCTAAAAAAACCTCAAGGTTATACTAATGTAAAAACTTAGTTAAAAATTACCAGCAATATGTTGCCTCAGGATTAATTATAACTTTATTAAAGCAATGCTCACATAGAATGAGAATTATCAAACACTCATTTAAAAAAAAAAAAAATAAATTTGGTGGATGTTGCCACAAATACTGGAATTTCACATCACACATATTTTATAGCTCATATTCCAAGGGTTTGGAAGAGTTTTTGTTGTGGATATGGAGCTACTAGGTATGGAAAATATTGGAGGAAATGGTAAATCATCATGCTGTAAAAATTGTATCCCCATTTGGTGGGCTTGAGTACAGTCCATTGCAGCATGGGAAGCTGACTTCAGTTGACACTGCATTGAACTTCCTAGGCATTTCTGCTACTTTATGCTAAGACCAGTATATCATTGGCATATTTTTCTGGATTATTGGAAAATGCCACCATGAAGTGTTGGGAGATGTCTGTGAAAAAAGAAACAAGATTGAATTAATGCAATCTTCTAGTATATGGACTTTAAATATTGTGTCAGATTGCTTATTGTCTAACTTGACTAAAACAGTTTAAGGTATGATACATGCATCCATCAGTTTGTATCGTCCATAGCTGTGCTGTGCATTCTGTGCAATTTAAATTTAGTGAAAGTTTTTGTAGGGTGCCAGCACCCTCTTGTGGGCAGTGTAACAGCAGAGAATTCTTGTCTTTTCAATGTGCCAGTATCAAAATTCTTTAGAGGTACAGGTGGTGTCCCCACTCTGATCAACTGTTGGACTGTGTGTGTGTGTGTTATTGCAGAATGTAGCCGCTTGGCTGAAATACTCTGTTGCTTTGGAAATAGCTTCTGTGATTTGCTGAACCATTTTAGAATAGTGTTTCTTCACATTGATAGAGTCACATAAATATTTTCTTGTAACTAGCAGGTTATTGGTAAAAATAAAACCATCTGTTCCTAACTGAACAGCTGTGCTGTTTATATATATTTCTGGAAATAAAAGAAAACTTCTTGCAGCATTAGTCCTTCCCGTTATCCTGTACCCTTCTTACCCTACGTCTGCCATTTCTTTCCTACCCCGCTGCTGGTAGTTGAGGGATTTTCCAGGTTTGCAGGCCGTTCAGGAGAATGCAAGCTGATGCCAGTAGTATCAGGAAACCAGTGTTTGAAAAGGGGTTTGAGATGTTGCTTATATGGTTTAAAATCAATGACTAATAATAAAATTTAACATCTAAATGAAAAAATTCTAACAAGAAGACAACTTTAGAATTGCTTGCAGGATAAATTGGCTGTGATAGCACAGAAGTTTATTTTAGTTTTAAGCTATTATTGGCCAAATTTTCATTGACCCTTTCTGCTAGAAGGTGCAGACATTGCAGATTGGGGTCTGCTAAAGGGTTGCTTGTACCTCTGAGATGTTTCTCCTGGCCCCAAGTAATAAACAGCTTCAGTCTTGATTATTTTTTTTTTTAAAACTTTTTTATTTTTTTCCCAACCAGGAATGTCCAGAATTGTTTCTCCCCCTACCTTTGCTGTGGTTATAAGGCAGTTGGCTCTGTGGCTCTGTATATGCAGTATATACTATTTATTCTTACAGAATCAGAAATTTGTCCCTTTTAAGGTCAGGAGTTGGCATTTGTAATGCACTTAAATTTGTAAAAGAAAAAAATACTAACTGTATTTCCTCTTTTTGCAGGTTGCAGAATCAGCATGTGTCTCTAAAAGTTAAAAAGGTAAGCAGACCATATTTGCAAATATATAGCGAGATTCTTTGTTTTCTGATTGATGCATTCAGATCATAACTTGGAGGACAGAATTCATTGTAATGCATTTAAAGAGTTATTTTAAACTTTATTTCATATATAACTTCAAAGATATTGGATCAGTACAGTTTGAATATAGAGAAAATATTGTTAAGAAATATCTAACTGTATCAAGTTAATGTACATGTGTTACAAAAAATTGCTTACCCTTCTGACTGCAAATTTTATCCAATCCATATTAATAAAATAAATATGCAAAGCTGACATGTAGGACTTGAGGTGGCTGAGTGTTTGAGCCAAGCTTGCTAACTGATTGTGGTGGGAAAAGAAGAAATATGTCCAATTTATAAGTCTGTCTCCTAACACCAAACATCACCTCACCTTGCATGACTTTTTTTTTTCTTTTTATAAGTAACTTCAAGATCTTTGAGTCTTTGAGATCTCCTTCAAAACTATTTTAGATTTTTCTTCCAATTGGCTATTGTTTTCCTTAGCACCACTGTGTAGCTGCATCTATTATCTTTTAAATGATGATGAAAATACTGATGTTACTTACTGGGAGATCTAGACTGCTCAGTTTTCTTCTCTGAATGGTTACCATTTTTTTATTTAGAAGCATATCTTAAATACATTTCTGGCAGTCATGAGTATTTGAGGAGTCCTTCAGAGATAATGTATGTTAAAAATCAGATGTTCAGTCCTCAAAGCACGCCAGTAAGAAGGATAGGTGGTGGTACCTGAAACAAAACTTTTTAATAAATATAGGTTACAAAGTAGTTTACTGTAGAATATATCTGCAAATATAATAAGTTATTTCTAATTTGGAGGTAGGCTTTAGATTTCTTTGGTCAAGGGAGCAAGAGATGTAAAATCAATTATTTATGTAGTGTAACAGTAGATGGTGCTGTTGGAGTGGATTCAATCACCCGAGGAGTTGAACTGCAAGCTGAGGCATACGGTATCAGAGCTCTTGGTGTTCCTGGTGTGCACACAGCAGCTTTATGTTTTGAGATTTGCTGTGCCAACCAAATGCTCAGGCTGTAATTAGTGGTTGCTGCTAACTTATATTCATTCTTGCTGCAGTACACAAGACTTGAAGGAAAACTTGTTGTTGGCCTGTAATGCTATCCTCGTGCTTCAAAAGTATGTGAATTGCGTGTGGGGAAAAAAAATCCCTAATCGTGCTTACAAAATATAGTGTGCAACTGTTTCTTCAAAGACTGTATAACGTAAGCTGATAATAGCAGACAAATCTGTAAGTAAACGAGATTTGCAAGGGTGTTTTTGGTGCATAGAGATTTTCATACAACATATTTAAAAAAACCCACATAGTAGTGAATTTCTTTTGTGTTCTGTGCTCAAACTCTTATTGTTCTCTTTCTCCTTTTCTTTTTTTCTCCTTTATTGTTCTCTCTTCCTCCCCAGCAACTTTCCAACTTAGTTGATTTGGAGTGAGTCTGGTGGGTACCTACCGATATGACAGATTATTCCCATGAGTTTTGTGAAGAGTGCTGGGTGAAGGAGACACTTGCCGAGTGCTGTGTCTGGCAGAAGGGCTGCCGCTTGGCTTTAAGCTTCTTGGTGCTAGGCAACCTAGACGGGAAGGGACTGTAGGTGCCACATCTCCAGGGTCTCCACGTGGAATTCGCAAATACTTAGCCACAAGACCCTGTCTATCACAAGCCATAAATCCACGGAAACGTAGTCTGACTTTGTTCTGGTGATCTAGGTGGTAGAAGAGAGAATTGAGAAGCTAGTGAACTTTTCCGTCAGTCTTGATGTATAGTCTCTGGTCTCGCTTGGGTTAGTTTACCTCTGGGGTTTTGGTGGAGGATACCTTAGTTTAGTGTCTCTGTGTTCCTAATTCAGTGATGTGAGTGAGATGGAGGTATTCAAGATGTGTAGGGTATGTAACCAAATTCCCCCTGGGAATTGCTTTTTCTTTGGAGAGACAGAGTCCAGTTTCTCCTTGATGCCTTTGTAGGCGTCGAGTCTGTGAAATACAAGATGTTACAGGATTTACTGCTTCCAAGGTACACATTAAAACTGAATGCTGCATTTTTGTTCTGGTGTGTCACATCTGTCTCCTTGCATTCAGCTTTTAACCTGCTTTGTTCTAATCACGCAGACTTTGCAATATATTTTTGGATATTGAATATTGAATCTCATGCATATTACATATTGCATAATTTTATTTCCTAAAACTGTCATTAATGTGCCAACTGCAAGCAAATGCAGTGGGTCACTAAGTTTCTCTCCTGAGTGCATAGTGTACTTTTCTTAGTAGTCAGATTTTAGACACTTTATTGAAAGCTGTCATTCTTCAAGCTGAAATTATCTCAGGTTGTCTTCCTGATTATCATACTCTAGAGGCTCTTTGCTTTGGGGAGCAGTCGTCAGTAGAGTAGGAGCTGCTTTGGAGAGGAAAGCTACAGGGATGAGCTGGAGGAGTCTTTTTTCAGTCTTTACACCAAGTCCTGTGAACAAAATCTCTGGCAGGTTAGGGCAGATAAAATAATTGTTGAAGGTAAAATCACTTTCGAACTTTCAATACCTAATGCAGCAACTCTTCTCTGAAAGGGAAGGAGAAATACACATTGTTATGTACATCTTTCTCACCTGTGGTGAGAACAAGGTGGTGAAAGTTTCAACAGCTGGAAGAATTATGGTAAAGAGCTCAGTGGATTCATGGGCTGCTTTTTTTCTTTTTACAAAGTATGCTGTTTGCTCAAAGGAACAGAATGAATTCCCATTCCCCTAAGGAGTGTTTCTTCCCTTTTTTGCTCTGTGTATCAGTGGTGCTTTTCCTTCAAGGCTATTTAGATGCAGATGCCTTACCCTCCTTGTCCTTTCCCCATCATGCACAGCTTAATGTGGATTTAAATGTCAATCTTCACCTGAAACTATTAATTAGTGAGGCACGCGCTAACTTCAGACTTAAATTAGGTCTGGTCAGATGAGAAACGCTCTGCCCGTGCTCAGTTAGTGCCTGTGCTGACACTGGAACTGTGGGCTTCACTGGCGTTTTCTTGATGTCTGCCTTAATCTTGCCGTGACTGTGTGGACCCGTCAGGATGTAGCATTGCAGGGCCTGATGTCAAACTATTGTCTGACACTAATAAGTGTGGCTATTTCTTGTTTCCAAGAAGGGAGAAATACTGCTATGTTAATCCAGAGCATGTCTCTGGTCTGTGAGCCCAAGCAGGCAGTATTTAGTAAAGAAAGGAGAGATGCTGGAAGCATAAAACACCTGACCTTATGTCTGCGGTATAGGAATATGACACCTTGTTGCCCAACAGAAGACTGGCTGGGGACTTGGTCTTAGATGATGATGGAACTCATTTCTTCCTGGGCTTCTTGATGGTGGTGAACATGTGGTAGCATAACCATGGCATTAGTGGCTCATTCCACCATGGCAAGTTCTTTTTAAATGGTGTAAACTGGGCATGAATGGTCCTGTTGATGTTTCTTCATCCTTAGTGAAGTAGTGTCCATTAACATTGATGCTGAAGTAGAACTTCAGCTCTGCTGAAGTAAGCGGGGAAGTTTGCAGGCCTTAGCACTTAGGCTTCCTGCAGAAATAATTTCTGCCAACAAGTTAACTCAATCTCAGAAGTTTTCCATCACAGACTGGAGATGGAAAAAGCGAGTACCTAGGATAAGGAGAACAAGTGCCAGCAGAGGGAGCAGGAGGTGGAGGGGTTGGGCTCCTTGTTAGCAGGTCAACCCAATCCCGGTGGAGAGCTTGAGTGTGTTGGCTTTGGTTAGTGAAGTACTGCTAATTTAAAATGGCAGTGGCAATGTTTTTCCAAAAATGTCAGCCTGGCTAGTTGTCAAAATGTGATGGTCCATATAAGTCATCTACCAGAGTTTATCCAGATTTGGTTATGTGCTGTTTTCCAAAGAGCCAAGGCCTGATATACTGAGAAATGAAGGTCTGAAAGCAGGTGGAGGTGACTTGTCAGAGAAGTCTCCTTACTCTAATAACACACTGAAGAAACCTGTGGAGCTTACATTTGCAAACATTCCCTGCTGGAAGATGTTTTTTGTCCTGCAAGGTTTAATCTGCAGGCAGGATTAAAGGATAGCTGCAACCCTCTGTCCGTGCTGCTAATCCACAGGATGAACGTGTGTTCGGTTGGTTGCTCAAAGTGGGGAAACAGGATAATATCACATTATCCTGTAATGTCACATGTTGCTTTTTTGTTTATAAAAAGGCTGGAAAATGCTACAGTTCATGTTGACATTGGGAAGTCTGTCAGTAAGACCTGGCATACAAACCCTCGTATGGAAAATGTCTGACTGAAACATTGCTCTTTGAGATTTACATATTTGTGTATTCCTGCTATTCACAAAAATATTATGTGCATTTCTAGGCAATGTGTGAAATGCATAACTAAGAACATGAGAAACAATTACAAAGGATGCTGAAAGTGTCTTGGTTTCATGCATTAAGATGTATAAACATTTCCTTGCTTATGTCTCTCCTTGTTTCTAAGATATGTATAAGGCTGAAGCCACACCAAAGAGCTGCTCTCCTTTTTAAATAACAAAATAAAAATAAATTTGCCTTTCCACACCCAGTAGCAAGGATGCCTTTGATGTGCTTTTGAGAAAACTGTCCTTCCTTGCCCCTTTTGTTTGCTGAAGGGTTAATTGTCACATGTGCCTCTTGCGGTGGGTAGGGATGAGCTGCATGGTTTGTTCATCTTTGTTCATCAGACTGTGCATCAATGCATCCTACAGTTCAAGGAACTGGCATCAGGTGGGTGAAGACAGTGCAAGGAAATGCAGGGGTATTCCTTTCAGGAATACATCACTTCTTGTTAGAAGGGGGTGAGGGGTTGCAGCAGGGTGGTGAGCCAGGCTGGTAGCGGACTGTAGGTGTGTGCATGGCATCTCTTCTAGCCACGGCTCTTGGCATGGTGACCCTCTTCCACATGGTCCAGCGACACTGTAAATGGAGGCGA